AAGTGTTGGGATTACAGGCAAGAGCCTCCGTGCCCGGCCATGAGGAGGTTTAGTTGGACTTGATAACCATCCGGAGTATCACGAACAAAGCTAGAAATCTGAGTCTGGTTGCAACCTCATCATCTGCTGCTTCCACTTCCTCATCATAGACCCAGGGGAACACCACAGTAGCCTGCCACGGCTCCAGGTTTGGAGTGAGGCATGGGTTCCAGGCAGCTCCTGCTGACCCTGCTGCTGCAGGCCAGGTCAGCTGTCCTTGCCCAGGCGTGAATCATGGGCATGTATCTCCCTGCTGGGTTTCCGCTTTGCTGCCCTTTCCTGGCCCTTTGGCCAGAGAGAGCAGGCTTTTCTTTTTGTTGCTTTTCCTTATTTGTTCTTTTTTTTTTTTTTTGAGACGGAGTTTCGCTCTTGTTGCCCAGGCTGGAGTGCAATGGCGCAATCTCGGCTCACCACAACCTCCGCCTCCCAGGTTCAAGCAATTCTCCTGCCTCAGCCTCCTGAGTAGCTGGGATTACAGGCACGTACCACCACGCCCGGCTAATTTTGTATTTTTAGTAGAGACAGGGTTTCTCCATGTTGAGACTGGTCTCGAACTCCCAACCTCAGGTGATCCGCCCGCCTCGGCTTCCCAAAGTATTGGGGTTACAGGCATGAGCCACTAGGCCCGGCCATTTGTTCTTTTTAATTTAGGCCTGTTGGTGGTTCTGGATTGCAGGCCTCTTTCGTTTTCAGTCTGGCATGTGTGGGAATAAAAAGACAGCCCAGGGCACAAACACAGTGTTATTCCTGCCTCTGGGTCCTCAGCCAGTCTGTCTCTACTTTCCGCCTCTTAGGGTTGTTGTGTGATTGTCTGTTGATTTATTCCCAGGGTATTTAGGTGTACTTAGAGGTGAGAAGCAGGGGAAAGTGAATCTATGCCATCGTGTCTCGGAACAGGAAGACCACCCCAACCCCACACACACTGAAATTGCAGAAGAAAAACAAGATGATAATTTGAATGAAAAAAACATATTATTATGCAATCCTCAAATGTTTGGACGGAAAGTGTTCTTAGACATCCTCGTCTAATTTCTCACATTTGGAAATGTTGAAGTTGGACTAAGAGCTGAATCGACCAGCCTCACCCCCAGTTCAGCTGCCTGACTTCCCAGCCTGTGTTCTCACCGTTGCACACCAGGGTCTGTCCTGCAGCTTTGAAAAAAATGTGAACTTCACGTTCTGCTCAGATCCTAGCCCTCCCACACCAGTTTGCTAAGAGTCTGTTCTGGCTGCAGAAATTGCAAAAGTTGTGTCAACTGGAACGCTGGCAAAATGTTCTTCATTTGACTTTCATTGTTTTTTGGAATTTTGGGGGGCCAGGGAGGGGCAAGAAAGGAGCTGCAATTGCCCTTGGGTAAGATTTGCTTAGAATTTTAGGAAGAAGTCAGTTGGGCGCGGCAGCTCACGCCTGTATCCCAGCACTTTGGGAGGCCGAGGTGGGTGGATCACGAGACCAGGAGTTCAAGACCAGCCTGGCCAAGATGGTGAAACCCCATCTCTACTAAAAATACAAAAATTAGCCAGGCGCAGTGGCAGGCGCCTGTAATCCCAACTGCTCCGGAGGCTGAGGCAGGAGAATTGCTTGAACTGGCGGGGTGGAGGTTACAGTGAGCCGAGATCATGCCACTGCACTCCAGCCTGGGCAGCAGAGTGAGACTCCGTTTCAAAAAGAAGAATTTTAGGAAGAAATCTATCTGATTGTAGAATTATCTAGGCTGTTGAGAATATGTGTCTGGTGGCCACTGGGACATCAGGGCGAGACTTTTCTTTTAACTGCATGTATGTGAATTAGGTTGCTTCTGGAGCCTACTGAGAGCTCGCTGGGTCCCTGTAGCATCCAGGCTGAAGGCTCCTTCCTTCTGTTTGTGACCTTGACCCTCAGCTCCACATTTCCCCAGGGCCTACAGGATTTCTTTGAGAATTCTCATTAGCACAACCTATTTTTTTTTTGAAACAGAGCCTCACTCTGTTGCCCAATGCAGTGGTGTGATCTTGGCTCACTGCAACTTCTGCCTCCCAGGTTCAAGTGATTCTTATACTTCAATCTCCCAATTAGCTGGGACTACAGACACATGCCACCATTTCTGGCTAATTCTTTTTTTTTTTTTTTTGAGATGGAGTCTTGCTCTGTTGCCCAGGCTGGAGTACAGTGGCACGATCTCGGCTCACTGCAACCTCCACCTCTCGAGTTCAAGCAATTCTTCTGCCTCAGCCTCCCGAGTAGCTGGGACTACAGGCGCCTGCCACCACACCTGGCTAATTTTTTATATTTTTACTAGAGACAGGGTTTCACTGTTTTAGCCAGGATGGTCTCAATCTCCTGACCTTGTGATCTGCCCACCTCGGCCTCCCAAAGTGCTGGGATTACAGGTGTGAGCCACTGCGCCTGGGCCAATTTTTGTATTTTTAGTAGAGATGGGGGTCTCACTATGTTGGCCAGGCTGGTCTTGGACTCCTGGCCTCAAGTGATCCACCTGCCTCAGCCTCCCAAATTGGTGGGATTACAGGTGTGAGTTGCTGTGCCTGGACAGCACAACCTATTAATGAATGACAGCCTTGAGTTTTGAGGATAAAACATTCCATTTCCTTAGTATAGTAATTAAAATCTCTCTCTTTTTCTACTATTTTGGTAATTAAGCAGGTAAAGAAAAATATCCAGAACAATATAATAGCGAGCAGAGAAAGAAAATCCTGAGGAACCACGCCCTGTGGGTGGATCGAGTGCGGGGGTCCTTGAGTGTTGCTGGTTGCAGGAAGGCCCCGGCAGAAGGGGGCTTTGATGAGCATCCACCTTGCATGCCGAGTGAATGTCTGTCCAGATGAGGTGTGGATGCAGCTGACAATGGAGGTGATTGTAATGGACTATCCCAAGTAGCAACATCATCAATTTAGGTTTTCAGCCGGAGTGAGACTTTCAGTTAATACTCAACTTAAAACAAGATGCATATGTTCCTTCAGAAATTAATTGACAGTGTTTTCACTTTGGCACTATTGATCTATGATATTAAAAGGCTGAGATGCAGAGGAGACACCATTGTATAATTTCTAGTGGCCGCTCTTTTTGTCCGTATCTGTTCATTGTTCTATCCATGCTGTTCTGCCACGCCCCTTTTTCACTTACCAACACATTGGAGATTACTCCCTATCATAGCATTTCCTTTCCTATTCTCTAGCCTGCCTCATCACTCTCTTAATGGTATCATTTTTCCGAAAAGAAGCTCTTAATTCTAAAATGGTCCTGTTGATGATTTTTTTTCCCTTAGGGTCAGCACTTTTTGTGTCCGTTTTGAGTTTTTGTCTACTCCAATATCATAAAGCCATTCTCTTAGAATTGCTCATAAAGTTTTATTGCTTTCTCTTTTTTTGAAACAGAGTCTTACTCTGTTTCCCAGGCTGGAGTGCAGTGGTGTGATCTTGGCTCACTACAACCTCTGCCTCCTGGGTTCAAGTGATGCTCATGCCTCAGTCTCATGAGTAGCTGGGACTACAGGTGCCCCCCCACCACGCCCAGCTAAGTTTTGTATTTTTAGTAGAGATGGGCGTTTTGCCATGTTAGTCAGGCTGGTCCTGAACTCCTGACCTCAGGTGATCCGCCCACCTTGGCCTCCCAAAGTGCTGGGATTACAGGCGTGAGCCACTGCGCCTGGTCAATTGCTTCCTTTTTATATTTAGATTGACTATCCACCTGGATTTGAATTTTGTGTGGGTAGGAAATCAAGGTTCATTTTATTTTTATATGGCTATCTTGTTGATCTGTCATTATTTATTATAAAGACCATCCTTTTTTCACTTCACCTCAGTATCACCTTTACTCATGTATCAAGTGAGAATACAGTGTGAGACTTTAAAACATTAATAGATTATTTTAATTTTATTTTTTCCAAACGATTGCATTTATTATAAACAAGGGTACAGATCTTAGACTCAGAAACACAACAGATTCGAAGCTAAGACAGCTCTGGTGAAACAGTAATAGAGGGAAGAGGAACACCGAGGAATTCATGTCTGGGCCAGAGCTGCCATCCAGGGCCCCATACCCCACCTTTGGTCCAGATGGCCCCTTGGCCCAGGTGTCCCTGCTGCCAGAGCACCCTGGACTGGGGTACAGGAGTTGCATATTCCATGAGGCTGGTGTCAGGGGAAGCAGGGACTCAAAGTTGCCAGGTTGTCCGTCTCTCTGAGCCAATTTCCCTCCACAACCCTGGGGTTTCAGTCTCATATCAACCAATCAAGTTTTAAAACAGAAAACAGGCACATGTTTGGCTAAAATAAAATGAAAACACTGCAGGGAAGACACCTGAGTGTGCTGGTGGACAGGAGCCGTGCTCACCTGTGGGAAGGGAGGGGCAGCAAGGGCAGCAGAGCTCCCTGTGGACAGCTAGGCTGTGTGTGGATGTGGCCCTCTGGGTGGTCCCAGGGAAGATGCAGGGACAGGGGACAGTCCAGGCAGACAGCTATCAGGTGAGGAGGGCTCTGCCTGAGGTGTTCTGGCATCAGGGGGCCACCTGACCCCCAACAGGCACGACACAGGCTCCAGGGAGCAATGGGACATCTGCCTAAAGGATCAAAGCCCAACTTGGTTAGATCCCAAGCTTCGCCTGCATCACCTCGAGCAGCAGCTGGCTACGCTGCCGAAACCAGGACACATCTGCATCATACAGAAAGCTGCGCCATTCTGGTGTGACAGGCCATACTTGGTCACCCTAGGGTAAGCTGGAGAAGAACTCCAGATGTGCTCTGGAGAACCCCCCACCTCTCAGGGGCCACCTCACAGGGTGCCCCCACCACCCCATTCTTTGAGTTTGGCTTGAGATTTTAGGAAGCATAATTTCAGGTGAGGAAGAAAACAAAGTCTGGTCCCAGCCCACTCTGGCAAGGATCGTTCCCCACCTCGTCAGCATCAGAGGAAGCCACATATACAGGCAGGACACACACAGCACGCATGGGCCGTAAGGAACCGTGCCTGCACACCACTCACACACACACAACGTAACCAAGTGGCAGCCAGAGAGGCTGGGGGATGCTCAGAGGGGTGCCTTGGGGGCATCCATGTAGGCTGGGTTGTAAGGAGGCTGGCTGGCAGGGTAGGGCGCGGCTGCTCCTCCAGCCAGGGTCTTGTGGTAGGCCGGTGGGCCCATGAGCTGGGCCGGGTAAGGTGATGGGTACTGCATTGGGTAGGGTGCTGCTGGCATCCCTGGCTGAGGCGGCATGGTGTGGTAGCCCTGGTAGCTTGGTCCAGGGTAGCTGGGCGGCACACTTGGAGGGACGTGGTCAGTGGCACGTCTTGTACAGAAACCAGCAGGAGCAGGTGAAGCAGATGATGATAGTGACGACAGACAGCACAAAGATGGTCAGGCCAACGGCCAAGGTTGCTTTGAACCCCATGTTAGGCTCTGCCTTCACCCAGAGGCCTCCTGTACCCCTGGGCTTCCCCTCTTCCCATCGTGGGCCACTCAGTTTCAACTTTCTCCCCTTTTGGAGAAAAGGAAAGCAAATCTCCTCCAGATGACGTCGGCCACAGGAAGCACCAATAGATTATTTTTTAATAACAGTTTTAGGTTTAGAGAAAAAATAGAGCAGATTAGCTGGGCATGGTGGTGTGCACCTGTCGTCCTAGCTTATTCATATGCTTATTTGCCATCTGCATATCTTTTTGTGAGGTGTCTGTTCAGATCTCTTGCCCACTTTTCAGTCGTGTTGTTTTCTTATTGTTGAGTCTTAATCAGATTGACTTCGGGAGGCTGAGGCGAGAGGATCGCTTGAGCGCAGGAGGCGGAGGTTGCAGTGAGTTGAGGTCACACCACTGCACTCTAGCCTAGGTGACAGAGACCCAGTATCAGAAAGAAAAAAAAAAAAAGAAAGAGCAGAAAGTAGAGAGTTCCCATATACCCTCCACCTCCCACCCTTCTCCCCTCCCCACACTTTCCCGTTATTAACATCTTGCATTAGTGTGGTACATTTGTTACAAGTGATGGACCAATATTGATATTGTAGGGGAGGACAAATCTGTTTTCCTTCTATCCTTCTAAGTTCATGGCTGAGAACCCTATAACAGAAGACAGATTAATAGGAGAAAAGTGCATAAACATATTTAATATAAGTTGTATGTGACATGGAAGCCTTTATAAGGAAATGAAGACTCCAAGAAGCAGTTACAGTTTGATGTAGGTTTGATAAAGGGTGGACAGTTGTGGAGAATATGGTAGAGCAAAGAGTTTGAAGTAAGTGTAGTCCGCTGGGGGAAGCTTATCAAGGCCTGTTTGTTTAGTTAGATTCCTCTCTGTGTCCCTTCATCTTCAGAGATACGGACGTTCCTTTCCACCAGGTATAGGGAGGGCATCTCTCACCCGAGGGTCTTATGACCTGGCTTCAGGGGAAGGTCAGAAAACCCTTCCTGCACATGCTGCTTTTGCAAATTCCTTCAGCTTAAAATATTCAATATATCATTGTGTTAGTCTGTTCTTGCATTGCTATAAAGAAATACCCAAGGCTGGGTAATCTATAAAGAAACGAGTTTTAATTGGCTCATGGTTCCACAGACTGTATAGGAAGCATGATGCTGGCATCTACTTGGCTTCTGCGGAGGCCTCAGGAAACTTACAATTATGGTGGAAGACAAAGGGGGAGCGAGACATCTCATGTGGCTGGAGCAGAGGAAGTGAGAGAGCAGGGAGGTGCCACATATTTTTAAACAACCAGATATCATGAGAATTCTGTCATGCAAACGGCACTATGGGGATGGTGCTAAACTCTTAGAAATTAAACTATTAGAAACCACCCCCAAGATCCAATCACCTCCCACCAGGCCCCACCTCCAACATTAGGAATTACAATTGGACAGGAGTTTGGGTGAGGACACAAATCCAAACCATGTCAGTCATGGTGCCATATTTTGTGGTAGCATGTCCTGAATCCCATCAATAAATTATTCTGAACTAAAGTTCCGTAGTTTCCATTAGGGTTCACTTTTGGTGTTGTACATCCTACTGGTTTTACCAAATGAATAATGCCATGTAGAACCATTACAATATTGTACAGAATAATTTCACTTCCCTAAAAATTCCTTGCGTTGAACCTACTTACCCTTCCTCCCCTGACAACTCCCTGGCAACCACTGTCTCTATAGTGTTTTTCAGAATGTCACAGTTGGAATCATACAGGAGGTGGACTCTCCACATTGGCTTCTTTCACATAGTAATATTCATTTAAGGCTCTTCCATGCCTTTTCATGGTTTGATAGCTCATTTCTTTTTTTTTTTGAGACGGAGTCTCACTCTGTCGCCCCGGCTGGAGTGCAGTGGCCGGATCTCAGCTCACTGCAAGCTCTGCCTCCCGAGTTCACGCCATTCTCCTGCCTCAGCCTCCCAAGTAGCTGGGACTACAGGCGCTTGCCACCTTGCCCGGCTAGTTTTTTGTATTTTTAGTAGAGACGGGGTTTCACCGTGTTAGCCAGGATGGTCTCGATCTCCTGACCTCGTGATCCACCCGTCTCGGCCTCCCAAAGTGCTGGGATTACAGGCTTGAGCCACCGCGCCCGGCCGATAGCTCATTTCTTTTTGTTGCTGAATAATAATCTATGGTATGGATGTGCCACAGTTTATCCATTCATTTACTGAGGGACATCTTGGTTGCTTCCAACTTTTGGCAGTTATGAATTACAAATAAAGCTGGTATAAACATTCATGTTCAGGTTTTTGCATGGACATAAGTTTTCAACTAATTTGGGCAAATATCTAGAAACGTGATTGCTGGATCCTGCGGTAAGCATATGCTTTGGCCAGGTGCGGTGGCTCATGCCTGTAATCCCAGCACTTTGGGAGGCTGAGGTGGGATCACCTGAGATCAGGAGTTTAAGACTAGCCTGGCTGATACAGTGAAACCCCATCTCTACTAAAAAAAAAATACAAAAATTAGCTGGGCGTGGTGGCGTGTGCCTGTAATACCAGCTACTCAGGAAACTGAGGCAGGAGAATCGCTTGAACCTGGGAGGCGGAGGTTGCATTGAGCTAAGATGGCGCCACTGCACTCCAGCCTGGGCAATAGAGTGAGACTCTGTCTCAAAAAAAAAAAAAAAAAAAAAATGGCCGAGATCCCACCACTGCATTCTAGCCTGGGCAACAAGAGCAAAACTCCATCTCAAAAGAAAAAAAAAAGAAAAGAAAATTCTGGAAAAGCTAGTTCAGTGACATGAATATTGGAATGAGAGCCTAACAAACTCAATTTCTTCCTTTCTAAATCCGTAGTATGGATTCTTGTCTGCAGTAGTTTTTTTGAGAAAGCAGAAGGGGTAGGTATTGGCAATCAACAAGCTGCAGAATATACCGATTGAGGTCAGTAATTGTAAACACCCATGACCGTTTGACCATTTCAATACCAAAAGAAAAAATTAAAATCCCAACTGCTAAAACCTTTGTCTTAGACAACTGTTTGAGCCTCTCCCTACAAGGCCCAGAAAGGAATTAGATACATGTGAATGCAATCTGTTTTCCCTTCCCTTGCGGCGCTGTGGAGAAGGAGTCTAGGACAGTAGTCAAGGCCAGCTGCCAGAGAGTCAAGGAAGGGGGAGCAGCCCCATGGAATCCAGAAACCATACCACCCTGGCCCATGGGTTAGTTGTATACAACCTCCCAAGTTGGCAACAAACAAAGGGCATGCACATTCGGGGATTTTGGTTTCACTGTCAGTGTTTATCTTTGAAGGGTGTCACATCCAGATGAATGGGAAGGGTGTGTTGCAGTTAAGCTGAGGTTTGGTCTTTCTTGACTTTTTTAGGGACACTTACTTACAGGTCCAAACCTGCTTTCAGCCGGCTGGTGGGCATGGTAGGAGACACAGTAGTCTCAGGACCAGGCTTTCAGGTGGGAGCTGAGATTCGAGAGGGTGGAAACCACTTGAGATTGAATCGAAGCAGACCTGTCCTCATTCTGTGCTGGGCAGGAGCCAGCTCTCCATGTCCCTGCAGCTCCGGCAACACCTCCGATCTTTCAGCTTCCCTGGGACTAAGGACCATGCACATTATTAATTCCGATATAAACAGTCACACAGACACATGTCTCAAGATGAGGGTGAGAAGTTGGTTACAGCAAATGAAGTAATAATGATCTCTGTGCTTCACAATAGGGATTCAACCAACCTGAGGTTTATAATTCACTTATTAACTCTTTTTATTTTTATTTTTTGTTGAGATGGAGTGTCCCTCTGTCACCCATGCTGGAGTGCAATGGTGTCAGTTTGGCTCACTGCAACCTCCTGGGCTCAAGTGAGTCTTGTGCCTTGAGTGGCTGAGACTACAGGCACATGCCACCATGCCCAACTAAATTTTTTGTATTTTTAGTAGAGATGGGGTTTTGCCATGTTGGCAAGGCTGGTCTCAAACTCCTGGCCTCAAGTGATCCGCCCACCTCAATCTCTTCAAGCGCTGAGATTACAGGGGTAAGCCACTGTGCCTGGCCATAATTCACTTATCGGCCTTTTATATTTATATATGACATGACTGGGAGAATCTAGGGTCAGTGCCTTACAAATGGCACAAGTCGAAGCCCTGAGACTCTCACTCCCACCCTGCTCCCCCCATTCTCAGTACTGCCCCTCAGAGGCCTCCAGCAGCTCATTTCTGCTAGACTGGGCCTGGGTACATGCCGGGAGATATGTACAGGGGCTAAGAGCAGAAACTCTCAAGTGAGACACTCCTGAGTTCATGCATTGGCCCTGCCATTTGTCAGCTAATTGACGTTGTATTTAATTGTATCATCTGTATGTAAGCCTAATAATTTGTAGCCATCTTAGAGATGTTGTGAGCTTAAACAACATGGTAGTGAATATTTAATTAATTAATTAATTAATTAATTAATTTATTTGTTTTTGAGACAGAGTCTTGCTTTGTCACCCAGGCTGGAGTGCAGTGGCGTGATCATGGCTCACTGCAGCCTTGACCTCCCACACTCAAGTTATCCTCTCACCTCAGCCTCCTGAGTAGCTTGAGACAACAGATGCATGCCACCATACCTGACTAGTTTTTAAAATTTTTCTGCAGAGACGGTGTCTCCCTATGTTGCCCAGGCTGGCCTCAATCTGTTGGGCTCAGGCGATCCTCCTGCCTTGGTCTTCCAGAGTCCTGGGATTACTGGTGTGAGCTACTGCACCCACAGCCTATTTACTGAGAACTGTGGAAGGCCCAGGCACTATTCTAAGAGCTCCAGCTGTTTTATCTCCCACATTTTTGCTCAGGTAGGAGTTCCAAAGCTGGAGCTTGAAGACTCATATTTTTAGAAATTTTGCAGTGAATTCTGAGGTGGGTCAGATTGAGATTCATGGCTATGCATTCATGTTTAGGCGGTTTCTAACTACTCAGGGTTTTAGAGACAAACAGACCTCATTCTGTCACTCACTGACTGAGCGGGGCCAAGTCTTTCAACCTCTCTAAGCCTCAGTGTCCTCATCTATAAAATGGGACCAATCATAGCATCCACTTCTGAGAACTGTTCAGAAGTGGAATGGAAATGAGCCAGTTTAGGTGGCTGTG